CCCCGTTATCTTAGCGTGTTTATGAGACAGAAAAAGAAACCAGCAATCCTACCATCATGCAAAACAGTTACAGGTTTTTGTTTCACAGTCATCTGGCAGGGACGGTAGTACTTCCCTGGGGGGTTGCTTGTCTACCAACCTTTCCGAATAGGCAGGAAAATTGCGATTTGGCTTAAAAGCAACGTTCATCTTGCCATATAGGACAAGTGAAAATTTGTGTATGCAATAATTTCGCCAAAAAACATTCTGAACTAACGAAAAAAATATATTTGATTGTGTTTGTTTAGTACTAAATTATTTTAAATGTATTTAAATATATTTAGTTCTGTTAGGCTAAAAAAAATTACACTTGTTATAATAAGTTAGGTAAGTTTTCTAAGATTCTTTTGGTCCAAAATTATAAATTTTTACATTAACATTGATGAAAAAAATATATCTTTAAACGTATAAGAGAAAATTTCAGAAAGGACTTAATTTTAAATGAGTTCTTGCTAATTGACCAGTTTTACATATTCGGCACGAAATAAATATATAAAATATATAAATATTTTATATATATAATATTTTTATAATATATTATATATATATATATATATATATATATTTATATATATATATAATATATTTTATATATTTATATATATATATTATATATATGGTATAAAGCTTGGTAATAAATACCGACAAGTTGGTTTAGAAAGACACGTAAGCAAACACTATGACATATTTATTAGAAATATAATATAATATATATTATATATATTATTATAAAATATATATATATATATATATATATTTATTATATATATAATATATATATTTTTTTTACTTTTTGTATTTAAATTTTTCAAAATATTTGAGAGATTTGATATACTCTTCTTTTATTTATTAATATAAAACCATGTATTAAAACACATGTCATTAATAATAGGTAAAGTTGGACAGAGTTTACCAAGGTTTACTTTACTCAGTGTTCTAGCAAGGTTAAGTTTGGATTAGGCTCCTGTTTTTTGCTGCAGAATTGTAAATTTGTATTCCGTGGAAATTTTCGTTAATATGTCAATCCATAAAACTATCAAAACAAATTATTTTTACTAGAACTGGGCCAGTTTGAGGACTGTGTGTAAAAAACAGGTCATTACCAGAGCCTAGTTCAATCTCTCTACCAGCTTGCTATGTAACTGGAATGGCGAAATTTAATTCCTCGCGTGAATGACGCTCATTGAAATGACGGTGAATATATTTTTTCATACGTGACATGTCAAATTAATTTAATTTCATATATACTGATACTTTTATCATTGAATATTTTCGGCATATCACATTCAGCATGAAGGAACGTACTGGTATTTATCTTATGATTAGTATGTCACCAGACGAGGCACGCAACTTGAAGTGTTTGTGCTGTCATCCTTGGTAAATACATCCTTCAATTTAGTACTGATGTGAATGCAGTTATGTGGAGGAAGAGGTTGCGAGCTTGAACCACCGACCAACTGGTTGAGAATACTTTCGTTCCAGCGCGGATATTACAAGCATAGTAAGCTTGAGGTCAAACTACGTCCATCAGACTGTGATTGTATACATTGTTGCCAAGCTGGGACCTGAGCTGGCATTGAGTGAACCGTAAAACATGGTCCGATTTACAAAGTTTTTTAATTCCCGTGGCTCAGGGGTTACATTCTCGCCCCACATCCTAGGTATCCTCCGTACACACTCTTTAAAAATGAAAATAATATTGGCTATTTATACAGTAATTTCCCCTTTGAATGTTTCATGCATGATATAAGTTATCAGGGAAGACAGCATAGCAGGTTGCTCCATTTATGGTCCATAATGAGGATTTTCTTCATTGCAAATTAGCCCCTCACTTACTTGGGGAGTTAGGTACTTATTTTCTCACAGGATTAGCAGCCATAGGATTGATTCTCCACTATTTCTCACGTCGAATGACCCACACGGATTTACCGCCTCACAAAATCAACATGTCCAGGAGAAAGAATGGCAAATGGTTCAGTATTAACAGCGAGATTAGAGGTGCTGATATTCATATCTTCCTTCTGCATGACATCAACGATTTAGATAGGAAGGAAGTTTCCTCCGATAGGAGAGTATAACTCAAGGCAAGTCAGTTTTTTTGTAGCGTCGAAGGAAATGAAAAGTTTAATAACTTATGAATCTAAATAGAAGTCTCAACTTTTTACTCTGAACATTCGCAGAAATTATTCGCTTCTTGGACAAGAAGTGGAGAGACCGAGATGCCTAAAATACTGATGAAGAATTATAATTCAAGATAGAGAGTTTTCAAATTAAAACTTTTAACCAGGAAGAGTTTGCCTCAGTACAATGAGTAATAAATGAGTTATAATAATTTTCTCAAGTGTCCAGTTGGGAGATGGAATCTAGATAAGACGTACGAAGAACAGTGGGATGTCTGGGAAGAAATGCAGCCACGGGCGATATATGCATATTGCTAAGTGGCGTCGTTAACATAAGTAGGATTTCAACATAATGGGAGTCAACATAAGCGGAGTTAGCAATGGATGTGATACAAACCTTCAACAAATATACACGAAACTGAAAGTAGGACGAGAAACCTACGGAAAATAGCACAGTTGATGGGGAAAGAGACAGGAGTCGAACTATTTACAGTAAAGGAGACTAGCAGGAAAGCTGAATATTTTTCATAGACTAGACTGAAATTGGTGAAAAATTGATTCATATCTTCTAAAATTTCTGTAAATATCCCGTGCTATAGCAACCTTCGTTTCACGATTATAAACCTTGGGGAAACCCTCGCTATCAGAAAAGATTATCAAGTTCAAGGCATGAAGTTTCAAGGATTGGAACTATCACCTTTTTTCGTGTATAACTTGAAATATCATAATTTCAAGAAGACGAAAGCTTTAAGAGAACAGAGAAAAGTGGAGCAAGTGAATCAGTGGAAGCTTAAATGGCGCACAGTTTTCACCTTCTGCTTTGTAAATGGCGCACGGTTTTCGCCTTCTGCTTTGTAAAACATCGTGCAACATTCTACTTGTATAATCCTCTTAAATTCAGTGGATTTATCGCTCAGGATTGCAGCAAGTTAATTTAAGTTGTTGAAGTTAGGTTCGATTTTCTTCTTTGGATAAAACTTAACCAATTATAACATAGCAAAAACGCCACTAATTGAACTACAAGACAAAAAAAATGAAATGTTCCGACACGAACAGAAAACGGGACTCATTAAGTAGGACCTATGTCAAATAATCACTGTTTAAGGTTTTTCACTAACTTGACTGTCCTTGTATCTGTTAAGAGAAGAGGCTGAGGTGTAAGAAGACAGTGGAACAGGAACACGAGCAGCGGCTAGGCTAGTATCCTCAGAAAAATAAAGCGCCAAAGAGGTTGACTTCGTCAAAAAGACAATACTGGAACAGGCAGTGAAACCCGTCGTCGCCTCATCAACGTGCGGGTTGCCAACCTTTTAACTACCGTATGTTGCTTGATCACCTTCCTTCCCTGCTTTTCCGGCGAAACGTTTTCATTCTCTTCATCTTGTGTAGTTTTTAATGGTTAAATATATATCTATACCAGTTAATCTAAGTTAAAATAATCCAACCTAGAATATCTAATATTTATTTTTTGGTCTATAAGACTAATAATGCTCCAATTTCTGTACAAGTGGAAAAACGAGCGGTTTTTCGACAATGAAACAGAAGAAATTAGACGTTAATGAGATTTATTATCAGTACGATATATTTTGTTCCTAATTCCTTAGAGGCCTTGTAGACAGCAGCAGCTGTAGCGTCTACATCAGTATATGGCACGAAACTTTCTCATTTAATATCGTACATGAAGCAGCACGTAGCTGATGTATCTAATGTTCTTATAATGACAGAGGATGCCCTTGCAGGCAGGAGTGTCCCGCAGTACGTGGCTGGGAGTGACAGTGCTGGACGAAAACGACTGGTGGCCAGAGTGGGATCGTCTGGTGTACGAGGGCACAGTCCTGCAGAGTGCCACCAAGCACACGCCCGTCCTGGCTCTGCACTCCCACCACCCCGCCCCCCTCACTGTCACCGCCCAAGACAGAGACCAGGGCTACAACGGCCGCGTCACCTACAGCGTTGTCCAGAAGGACGTCCTCAAGTACTTCTCTGTCGACCAGTTCACAGGCGAGAAATCTTTTTATCGTAGAAATCAGTATGCAATTTACTTCCACGACTTCCTCGTCCAGTTTGTCGTACCATCAGAAGAGTACTTTGTGACATTTAACTTCAGTGTTATGTCTAGTCATGTAATATTAATAATCTGCTAGGTTGGAAAGAAGCTTTTAACTTGTTGCTTATCTGTTTTTTTTAATATTAAGATCGAATATTCATTAATATAATATTCCTAGGAAAGTATTAACTCGTATATAAGTATATACTCAGGCAAATACTTCGCTTCTTTTTCATATTATGTATTTTGTGGTCTTCACGACTATTTATTCAGTATAGAATAAATAATGTATAATAAAACAGATTTCATGTGAGTGGAACTACGAAGCTAATGCTTTTTACTTTCATATTCTCTCTGCAGGAGCTGTGTGGGTGTCTGGCCGCCTAGAGGAGAAAGCTGGCACTACCGTCGAGTTTAATGTGTGGGCCAGCGACGGTGGTGACCCCCGGCGGGAGTGTGTGGCTCCAGCTCTGGTCTCCATTACCGTCAGGAGTGTGAAAAGCGCTCCCTTACCCTTCCCTCAGCCACATTACAACGCTGGACTCTATCTTCCTACCTTCCCCGGCGTCAGGGTGTTTTGTCTGGAGCAAGGAACAGCCCTGCAGAATGAGAAGACCGATTGGTCCAAGGTTAAGTATTCAATAGTCGACGGTGATGAATCTAAAAGGTTTGAGTTGGACAGTAAGACCAGATGCTTGCTGGTGCGTGATCAGCTCAACTTGAGGCCTCATTACAACCTGACGATGAAAGCCACCGACGGAACCCTAACATCGACGGCTACGGCGGAAATAGTGGTTCAGGAAGCTCCACTTTCCACGCTGGTGTTCACGCAAGACAAATACTGGGCCAACGTTTTCGAGAACTCCACGAAGGAGATGAACGTGGTGTCATTGGGAGTAAAGGGGCCTCCCGCTCAACCACCACGTCCACTACTCCATCCTCAACCCCATGGAGAGCTTCGAGATCCGCCCCACAGCAGGAGTGATCAAAACTACCGGGAAACCTTTCGACCGGGAAGCTATGGACCACTACACGCTGGTCGTCCAGGTGAGTTCAACACAGTCTTAACATGACTTAAACTCCTGTAACTTAATTATTTTATAAAGCCTGTAAATGTTCAGAAAGTTTCAAAAATCACTGCTCCCGAGACTGCCCCAGACCAAACCTTTCTTAGGAAATATAATTTATCATTTTATTTAGCTCCTGCCAACATGCCTCTGAATTATTCACATTTATAATCAGCTTTTGAAGCAGACCTGAGAGCAGGCACTAGTTTATCAATAATATGTGTGCGCTCTGAAGTTAAGCCTCTCAACTGAATTCTTGATGGAAAATAACCACCAAGAAGGCTTTTAGTGTGTGACAAGAGCTGTACATTTTTCATTTTCAAATCTTTGGTGTCTTGCACTTCGAAATGCAGTGTTGACATAGCGCCGGGCGACTTTATTCGCACTTCTCAAGGTGCAGCTCAGTGATCAACCATTTATTCTTGGTTGTCAGGCGAGGGATGAGGAAGTGCCAGGGAAACTCGCCTTGGTCTTGGTACACGTGGCAGTGATGGACGTGAATGACAACGAACCCGTGTTCCTCAACCAGCCTTACTACGCCCTTGTCTCCACCAGTGCTCCCAGAGGACACGTGGTCACTAAGGTCAGTCATTTTAGGGGGGTTCAAAGAGAGAGTGAAGGGATGAATGTGTCGGGTTCAGAGTGCGAGATACTATGTGACTAGCGAAAACAGGAACGAAGATGTAAAGTTCAGAGTTCGAGTGAGAGACTGAGAAAGAAAAAGTGTCACGTTCAGAGAATAAGAATGATCGTGTCAGCCCGAGAGTGAGAGTTTCAGAACATTCTTAACATCATGAGACAAGAGTTAAAGAGGCAAGTTGATTTATTCATATAATTTGTGTGTGTTATAAGATTGGAATAATATTCACAATCCTGACTTATAATTAAGACAGTTGTACAACACTCGGGTATCTTTACGGATACCCGAATATTGCGCAAGTATAACTCATGACCCTGTGGGTTCTCTCAATCATTTATCTACAATGCTAACTTAATAACTTTGTCTTCAAAAGGTGAGGGCAGTAGATGCGGACGCTGGTGAGTTTGGTAGCGTGAGATACGAACTAGTGCGCGGCAGCGGCGAGCTCTTCTCAGTGAACAAGAAGACGGGAGAGATCTCCTTGAAGCAGTCACTCATGGTGCCCGAGAAGACTTACAGCCTCACTGTGGCAGCCTACGATGGAGGCAAGCAGCCGCTCAGCTCCCAGGCTCATGTAGTGATACGGTGAGTGAATGTTGTGTTTAACACGCAAACGTATAATACATATTTTCCCGTGGCACGAACCCACAGAGGAAATAAAACTGAAGATAGCAAGAGTACCACTAAGACCTACTACTAAGACCTACTAAGGTCCTACCACAAACCCTTATTACTAAGACCTACTACTAAGGTCCTGCGACAAATGAGGTCCTCAGTGGAGCGGTGAAATATAAAATACTTTTTTTTATCTTGTTGTAATTTATCGATGAGTGTTTGTACCAGATATGTCTAAATCTTACGAAAAAATCACTCACAATAGGGA